TACTGGCAACATCTCTGTCTGGCTCCTCCAGTCACTTCCCAACATGAAGGTCCTCTCTGCGGACAAGTCTCTCCAGATCTGTGCTCCATGTCTGACTTCTTTCTTAGTTTCTTAGGTCCTCAGCACATAGCTCAAGACCAGACCCAACAGCAGTCCTCACATACTGCACCCTCCTAGGTGTAAAACCCCAGGAGCAAGAAGGTTCTTGAAAGGTGCTCCAAAAAATGTACAATATATCAAACAATACCTCTGAACATTGCTCTTCAGGGATTGGGTGGATCAAATATATATTCATAATTTAGCAATTAATCTTTCTACACTTCTCCCAGGAACCTACTTCCAAAAGCAGGTGGAACCTATCAACCCTCCAGGTTTAGAAAAGACATGCAGAACCCAGAAAAATAGATAACAGATTAGGATGACAACAACAACACAAGCTAAATTTAATTAGGTACACCACTGCATAGGGCTGGGTTCCCACATACATATTCATCTTTAACATTCACTGAATGCCCTTTATTGCTTGCTATTTACTGCTTCATGGATCCTCGGGATAACGAGAAGCCCAGGTTACTTCCTGGTTTCTCATTGTTAGCAGTTTAGAGCTTCCACTGTATCAATGTACAGAACACTAAAGGGTCTGGTAGGAATTAGAGGTGGGGGGACCCTACACTCCACCTACCCTCTCCAGGCTACTTTTTATCCCCAAACTCATCCTTGGTCCAGTGCTGGTGGTCATTATTGGGCAGAACAATACTCATATCATTCTACTCATTACCAGTGAACCCAGACTGGCTTTAAATGCCCTGCTAGGGGGTGTGTCATCACACGGGCTGGGCTCACAGTAGTCCAGGACTGAGCGACGCTGACACGTCATTAACCCTGGCCAAGCCTGGAGGAAGAAGAGGACGTGACGTCACTGAATGGGCAAGATGATGGGCAGGAAAGAGTTATATGGTGGGGGGGATGTTGAAATGCTGGAGTTCCACTTCAAGCCCCTGTTCACACCAGGGTGTTTTGTTGCACTTTTTTTTCCGTGCTAAAGACGCATTCAAATCAAAATTCTGAAAACATAAATTTCGGATCAATCTGAATTCTGAATATTGAACTGAGCTGAATTTCAGAAACCGAAAGAAGAAATCCAAATAGAAATGAAACAAAAATGAAAGTTTTAAGCCGTGCACAAGTCTAATTTGTACCAGGTAATGATTCATTGATATATAAAGAGATGGCAGAGACGTTGTCTGCTGTGTTGAATGAACACAAAGCTGAAAGTCTTATATAACCACTTCCTGTCTGCCGATCGTTGAAAGACGGCCGGGCGGGAGTCTACTGGATGCGGGTTGGTGTCTTTAGACGTCCTTCGTGCCCCCACCCGCTCGCGCCCCCTGGTGCGCACAAGCGGGAACCCGCCAGGATTTCCAACGGCCAGCGATGGCCGTTTACATACAAGAGGTCCGGCATCTGTAAAGACGCCCGATAGCTTGTATGATGCAAGTGAGGGTGCGCCCCCCTCTCCTTACGTCTCGTCGCCGTTGCTGTCCCCGCCGCTGTCGTCCCCGCCTCTGCTTCATCAGCTTCTCTGGGGATCCCCAGGTGACATTAGTGGTCTTATAGACCCCTGATGTCTCCATAAAGGGGACCTGTAACTGTAATTTGTTATCACATAGGAGCACCCTTTGTGATAACAATAAAGTTAAGTAAAAAAAAAAAAAAAGTTGCTCACAAAATAAATACAAATTTACACACACAAAACAAAAAGAAACACACAAAATGTTTTAAAAGTCCCCCACCCCCACATAGAAGCGCAAAAATGCGTTACATGCGCCTACACCCAAAAACTGCGATTGCTCCAATTATGCTGCACATGTTACATATCACTGTGAACGTCGGAATGAGAGCAATAATTCTGCCCATCAATCACTGATAACACTACACTGATGAGCGGTAACATCTTTTCAAGCGTCGGCTATGGACAATTTTGGCTATGGTGTTTTTTTGCGATTTCGCAGACACGCGCAATTTTAAGGCTTGACATGTTTGGTGTCTATTTACCCGACGTGACCCTGTCTTTTATATTTTACCAAAACAGTGGGTAAAAATAATTGTTTCTTAAAATAATAAAGGGAAAACCATTTAAAAAAAAATATTTGGTACTTTTTTTGTTATATAAAAAAAAATAAAACCCCCCCCAGTGGTGATTAAATACCACCATCTGTCCCCAAAAAATGGTATAAAATTCATTTCAGTACAGCGTTGCATGACGGAATAAACGTCAATCAAAGTACCGCAGCGCTGAACACTGAAAAATGGCCGGGACAGGAAGGGGGTGTAAACACCCCGGTCAGCGATTGGTTAAAGGTCTCTTATAATTTAATTTATAACACCTTTGTGACTTGAGAGCCCGTTTTATACAATGGTTATTAAAATGTGAATCGTAAATAAAAATCCACTGAAATAGTTTTTTAACTTTCTGTCACCCTTTGTGTACAATAGTTAGTGGACAGGGTGACCTGACACACCTAAAAGGAACAACATTTTTCTTCCATCATTTTGTAGTTACAGTTTTTAAGGGTTGTAGAATGAAAATTTAATTGGACAGCAATGTTGGTAGTCAGTAAGCAATGCTATAGCACATAGGTTTTGGTGGGGGAACAATTGGCCAGAGTCACCACAGTTTGGTAGCGGTGACTGTTGGAACCGATAAAATTGACATCTATGATACAGCTTTGATGCAAAGGTGTTCTTTGATATCCTGAACTGAATCAGCACGTGGCTGTTTGATACGCAAATGAGGACCATCAAAGGGTTCTTGGGGCTGGACACTGATGAATGGAGATCTGCCGGGACTGTCATCTCCTGGGGCAAGCCCGACCCCCTGCTGGAAATGTACTGCCCACACCTGTGTCAGCAAGGAAGCAAACATGCTGGGATGGGGGCGAGGGCATATGATTGAGCCTTCTTTTTGTGTGATCAACTGCACTAACCTAGCTCACAAGCAGGAACAATGGTGACCTTGGTGACCTCTTGGGCAAGACAAGTCTTTCTGGACTCTACAATCAAGAAGGTGGTTCGCTGAGGCCTGCTGGAGAGGAGTGTTCTGAGCATAGAGGAAAAACCCAGGGCTTGTGTGATTGTGAATGATAGAATGGTGTGACTAGCTGAAGGATCTTAACCTCAATTCCTACCCCTACTACCCCCTCCAAACCCCCTTTCCCTTCATTGTAATTAGAATGTATGTATATCCCTATTTGTAAATACACCCTACACTTATTTAAGATTCAGTTGTTCATCAGTAATTTAAGGCGCCCCCAAAGCAGAGCACATTCTACAGTGACAACAGGCCAAAATGAAAAAAAACACAAGCCACAGGATGCTCTCTTGCTCAAAACATCAGAACTTGAGCCGTTGTCTATGAGTGGGTAAATATTGGCCGGTGCAATCACAGTTTGATGGCAGTGCAAACAGGTCTTAATTCGAAGACACAAGCCACAGAAAAATATCTTCATAAAAAAGTAGAGCTTCAACTCTTAGATTTGAGTGGCTACAAATTGGCACCACAGTTTAATGGCAGCGCCAACAAGTAGAGACACATGCCAAAGGGAGGTGTCTTTCTAAAAATAATTATAACTGTAGTCCTTAGGTAAGGAGGGGTTACATTGGCCAGTAGGCATCACTAACAAACCTAAAAGTAAAGACACATGACCCAGTCAGTGATCTCCCTAAAAAAATTGAGTGCTGCAGCCCTCAGGGTTTGATGAGCAAAAATGTACCAGGTGCAAAGCTGACAGGACAAACTGTGGTGCTATTGGGGGGTTGGCAGAGAAGGGAAAGAAGTGCCAGGAGGCGGCTAAGCTGGTACCAGTCAACACTATTCAATATAATGCAGGCTTAAGCAGCAGAGCCAACAGAAGGGACATCTAGGTCTAGATATCTTTTCATTTTGCAAGCAAATTTTTCCCTTAGCTTAGTAAATTTGTTTAAAATTCACTATGTTGAGAATACCCAATATGTCCAAGAAAAATTAAAACGAGTAATTTTGCATGTATATAATTTGATGATTGACGTCATTACAGCTTTCCCACATTCACTAAGCTACGTGTAAATTCCCATGCAAAGTGAATATACTTTACTCTTTCAGTAAATGACCCCTCTATGAATCCCTTCGGCATCCAAGATTCCCACTCTCATGATTACTGCTTTGGTAAATCAAATAATTTTTTATAATTATATTATTTTGTATGTATTCTGTTGGGCTTGTCATCTATTTCTGGGATACAGTGAGCGCTACACTCTCTGGGAAAGAGCCGAGATTGCCTGGACCTCGGTTGAAGAGGTTGCGTTCTCCTCATTTTTTTCCCCGCTAGGCATATCTATGTTTTGTTTTGTTTTCTTAAGAGCACATGTAATTTAAAGCCTAGGAGCATTTGTTAATTGCATTTGTTAAGCATTTGTTATTAATCATTTGTTAATTGCATTTGTTAAGCATTTGTTATTAATCAAACACAGTCTAATCTCTGACATACGTATCAAAACTTACATATATTTGGAGTCATTGTGCTTGGGATAAATAGGGGGAAACAATTATGAAAATATATGAAATAGAATTAATTAGGCCAAATACATTACGCATTATTTAAACTAAAACCTAATTTTTTTTCTCATTTTCCGTCCAATTGTCTGCATTATTCCAAAAATCTTATCTGGGTATTTATGAAAACTGTTAAAAGCCTTGTATGTCCATAAAAGACACATAAAAAAAAACATTTTGGTAGGCAAAGCAGTTAGAGAGTTATTGTGAGATTAACCAATGCATACAGAAACTGCGAAATTTGGACTGGGCATCCAGCTTACGCATGACTCCTGGTCATGCGAGGGTTGAGAACATCTATGAGAGACCGACATTCTTACATTTTATGGAAGAAGTTACTGAAACCTCAAGCCAATTAAAGTTGCCTAGAAATAAAAAAAAATCAGATTTGACAATTTTATTTTCAGCATCAGGCATGAATTAACTTTAAGTGATAATAAGACCTCATAAGTGCCTCCATAAGGTCTTTGTTCCTCAGACTGTAGATCAGAGGGTTAAGTAAGGGGTTAATGAGGGCAGATATGACTGAAAACAGTTTATTTATATTGAACATGTTGCTGGAGGTGGGAACCAAATAAATAAAAATTAAACAGCCATAAAAGATGAAGACCACTGTCAGGTGTGATGTGCAGGTGGAGAATGCTTTCAGCTTTCCATTGTTACTTTGGATTCTGAGAATGGTACTAAAAATACGGACATATGGAAGAAAGGTCAATAGAAAGGCTCCTAATCCAAAACTAGCACCTGCTAAGAATATGACCACCATGTTTATGAAGGGATCAGAACATGTAATTTGAATCAAGTGTGGAAGGTTGCAAAAGAAGTTCTGGATGGAAGTTGGTCCACAAAAGGACAACCTGAGCAAAAGTAAAGTATGGACCGAAGAGATAGCACATCCTGAAACCCAGGCCATAGAGGCCATTTGAGCACAGACTGTCCAGGACATAATTTGTTTGTAATGTAGGGGGTGGCAGATGGCAATGTAGCGGTCGTAGGACATAGCTGAGAGCAATGAAAGTTCTGAGCATGTAAAGGAGAGGTAGAAAAAGAGTTGGGCTAGACAGGCAGGAATGGATATTGACTGGCTTTTTGTGAGCAAGTCAAAGAGCATCCTTGGTGCGGTCACTGATGAATAGGAAACGTCCAGAAAAGCCAAGTTGCCAAGAAAAAAATACATTGGGTTGTGCAGATGGTAGTCAGTGAGGACCAGGAAAAAAATAAGAAGGTTCATGATAAGAGTCATCAGATAGATCAGAAGGAAGAGCACAAAAAGTCCACTCATGGTCAGTGGATGGTCTGATAGACCCACAAGAGTAAGAGAGGTAACCTTTGTTAGATTCTTCATATTATAAATGTTTGCCTCTGTTTAAATGTATCACCATAGAACAGTAATCAAATAATCAATCTGAAGAATCATCAAAAGGAAAACACGTACGATGTGCCTACAGTTCACGCTCAGGTTTACATGTAGACATTTGTACCAGCTAATGATTTATTTATATAGAATATGATGGCAGTCCCGTAGGACACTCGTCTGTGTTGAGAGATCGCAAAGCTGAAAGTCTGATTAAAGGTCCCTTAAGATCTCATTTATAACCTTTGTGACTTGAGAATTAAATAATTGGCAATAAATTGTGAATACAAATCCACTGAAATCATTTAAAACTTTTTGTCACCCCTTTTTGTTCAATAGCTATGTGGGTAGAGCGATCTAACACACCTAAAAGGAACACTGATTTTCCTTTAGTTTCCATCATTTTGTAGTTATGGTTTTTAAGGCCACGGATTGAAAATTTCAGCAGGCAGCAGCAGCAGACAGCAAGGCTGATAGTCAATAAGAAAAGCTATAGCAGCATAGGCTTTGGTGCGTAAAAATTGTCCAGAGTCACCACAGTTTGGTAACAGTTTGACAACAGGCCAAAATAAAGAATCACAAGTCACAGGTAGCAGTCCTTCTAAAAGCATTAGAGCTTCAGTCCTCTGGTATGGGTGGGTATATATTGGCCAGTGGCATCGCAGTCTGATGGCAGTGCAAGCAGGTCTGAATGTGAAGCCACAAGAAGACACAAGCCACAGGGAGGTATCTTATTTAAAAAAAATAGAGCTTCAGCTCTTATATTTGGGTGGCTAAATATTGGCCAGTGGTACCACAGTTTGATGGCAGCACCAAAAGGCTTTAAAGTAGAGACATAAGCCACGGGGAGGTGCCTTTCTAAAAATAATGACAACTGTTGTCTTTAGGTGAGGAGGGGTTAGATTGGCCATTGGCATCACAGTTTGAAGGCAGCACCAACAAGCCTAAACGGGGTGAGACATGCCACAGTCATCAATCTTCCTACAAAAAATTGTGCTGCAGCTTTCCGTCAAGGAGAACAATGAGCAGCACATCACCAAAATCACTCCAAATCTGGTGAGACTAGAAGGCATAGGCAGTAGTGATTTAGGTGATCTCACAGTGCAGATATACAGCTATGAGGCTCAAGTGGGGATGATTTTTGAAGTAGCATTTCGAATACATTTTAAAATGGAGAGTAGAGAAGCAGGGGGCCTATTATGGTCATGGTATAGGGCCCCTTCACACATAGGAAAGCAGGAAGATGCACACCAACGACATCGGATCACACCCAGCTTTATTAAACCTGGACATTATACACTCCAGCCCTACCTTCAACTAATGTTTCACCCGATACAGGCCTGATTGTTAGACTTGTGCGCCGTCAAAAAATATGTTCCGTTTCGGAATATCCGTTATTTCGTATTTCGTAATTCGTATCCGAAACTCAATTCGGATTCGTACGAAATACGAGCAATATGTTTATGGTGGGGTCTGTACATGAAATTTGAAACAAGTGTGGAAGGTCACAGAAGAAGTTGTGGATGGAATTTGGACCCCAGAAGTACAACCGGAACGAACACAGAGTATGAACCAAAGAATAAATACGTGGGAAGACCCAAATCACAACAGCTAAATGACTGCACATCCTCAAGGACATGATTTGTGGGTAATGTAGAGGGCGGCAGATGGCGATGCAATGGTCATAGGACATAGCAGAGAGCAAAAGGAGTTCTGAACAAGCAAAATAGACAAGGAAAAAGACTTGGGCTGTACAGGCAGGAATAGGTATTGATTGGCTTTTACAGTCGAAGAGCATCTTTGGTCCACTCACTGATGAATAAGATATGTCCAGAAAAGCCAAATTGCTAAGAAAAACATACATTGGGTTGTGCAGATGGTAGTCAGTGAGGACCAAGAAGAAAAAAATGAGGTTTATGATGAGAGTCATCAGATAGATCAGAAGGAAGAGTACAAAACGTCCATTCAGGTGGTCTGCTAGACCCACAAGTGTAAGAGTGGTAATCTTGGTGAGATTCATCATATTATTTATTCCTTCTCAGTGTAAATCTATCACTACAGAACAGTAAGGAAACAGGCAGGAATAGGTATTGATTGGCTTTTGGTGACCAAGTCGAAAAGCATTCTTGGTCCGGTCACTGACGAATAAGACATGTCCAGAAGAGCCAAATTGCTGAGAAAAAAATACATGGGGTTGTGCAGATGGTAGTCAGTGAGGACCAAGAAGAAAATTAGGAGGTTTATGATAAGAGTCATCAGATAGATCAGAAGGAAGAGTACAAAGAGTCCATTCATGGTCGGTGGATGGTCTGATAGACCCACAAGAATCAGAACAGCAATCTTTGTGAGATTCTTCATATTATATTTGATATCACTATAGAACAGTAAGGAAAGGAAAACATATATGGAGTGCCCACATTTTAGGTTCAGGTATCCATGTAGACATTTGATCCAGTTGAGGAAAGGTTGGCAGTCCTGCTGGGCAGTCTGCTGTGTTGTAAGAATACAAAGTAAATCTTTAAGTCTTGTTAAATGTCTCTTAAGATTTAATTTAAAACATTTTTGTCACTTGAGAGGCCTGTTTTCTTTATATAAGTAAAAGATATATGCAAAAACATAAAAAAACTTTTACAAAGGGTTTAAACTTACCTGCGCTCCCATCCAAACATCTGAAGAGTCTCGGGCGGCCACAAAGGATCTTGGGGTGGGCGCATGTGCACTTCAGATGTTCGGCCGGGAGACGAGGAGAGACGCAATTATATAGAGCAGTGTGCACCAGCACAGACTCTGTGGGGCATCAAAGAAGAGGAGGACAGAGGAGTCGGCGCTGGATCGGAGACCCACACCAGCACTGGAGGGACAGCTGAAAAGGACTCTAAAGAGGAAGATGATCGGATTAAGAGGCATCATTTAAGGTAAGTCCCTACAGCAGGATTGGGAAGGGGAAACAAAATTCTGACTCTAATGTCACTTTAAGTGAGCTTTTATCCAGCAGACCACCTTTTTTTTTAACAATACAGGTTTACTTTATTGCATTTGCCTGTTCTGTAACCCAATAGTCTTGACAATGACTACTCTACTCTACCCCCTTTTAGTTGCTTTGAATGAGCCAGTAGTTTCTTCAGAGTACTTAAAGTTTTCTTACAGTACGCCTGGTATGTATGTGGGGTAAAGGCATCTCAAATGAATTTGAAACATGTCGCAAATGCATCTTATATTTGCAGACATTCTAAAACCAGCCCAAGAGCAGGGTGATCATTAAGCCTCCTATTGGAATGGATAGGAAATCTATTGCGCATATGTGGCCCAGCCCAGGCACCTCCTGTGAAGATACAGCATGGCTCACAGCAACCCCAGAGCAAATATCTCCAGGGATCTCGGACAAGTGGATGACTCAGAAGACTTGCTGGTGAAGGGGAGCCCTGCAGATAACTTCGCAACAGGCACAGTCATTCTTTAAACAAGCATGTTTAAATTGGTAACACATTGGGAAAAGGCTGCCAAAATAACTGTCTGAAGTATCATTTTATGCAGCAGTAAGACAACTCTTTGTCCAGTTTTTGGAAACTGATTTACAAAGCTGCCCGATTGGGCTGTAAACTGGCCATACTGGGAGCCTGGGTGCAGCACTTTTCTTTAAGGCAAGAGGTTTGTTCACTTCTTCTTTCTGATTGACTGGCAGGCGTAAGGGCTTTTCTACACCACTTGCATTAATATGTGTTCCTGAAGCATTTTTGGGGGACAAGAAATGAAACATTGATTATTGCCTTTTACAGACTTACTTTTCCCATGAGCATATATTGTCCTACAAACCTTTCCATGTTTCCACTCTCACATATGTGTGTATAGTGTTTCATTATTATCTTCTCTTAGCGTCTCTTTTATGTATTTTTATTCTCCCTCTTACCCCAGGCAAAATGAATGACACAAAGAGCTTTTTATATTTTAATTATTATTGTTATTATTAAAGTATTTTTTGTTGGTTATGCTATAATAAATAAAACAATGACACAATCATTGTTTTATTTATCATCTTTTTTACTTTGTTTTTTGAATTTGGGATATTTAGAGTAGTTATATTAGGGCAGAGTGATTGTGGATTTTATTTATACGGTGTGGTGCATTTTATACAGCAGTACACCTTCTGCTTTAGTAGGATAATGTAATATAGGTGGGTAGGATTAAGACGGGGAGCGCAGATATATTGAGGAAAGTGTTTTTAAATATAGGTATCTTCATAAAGAAGTGACAATATTCTTCTTTCGGAAAATTCATAATTGTTAATTTCCTTGGTCCAAGGTGAAGTTGGTTATTCCCAAAATCATTGAATGACTAGTTTAGATCCTGCACTAATGAAGGTTAGAAAACAGTTTTTCTTAAGTGAATGGTAATTTGTAGACATGTGCGATTCGTTTCGTTCGGACGAAATTTCGGAAATTTGTAGATACGGAGCATCCAAATTTCCGAAATATAACATATACGAAAGCATCCGAAAGCATCCGAAAGCATACGAATCCGAAATTTCGAATCCGAAATTTCGGATTTGGAACGAATTTCGTCCAAATCCTGTGCGTGCGCTGTGTTAACATTTAAACGGATAAAAACAAATAAAGAGAAGGATTTTAATGTCCCTTTAATAGTAAAGACTAGAGCACAGCAACCAGAAATGACAAATGTGGCAATTTTGCTACCCCACCTCAAGTTGAATTTTTGGGAATTCGTCCGAATTCCGAAACCGAATCCGAATTCCGAATCCGACGCGAATTACGAATCAGATCTGAATACGAATCCGATTCCCGAAACAAAACACATATAGGATCCGAAATCCAAAAACAAAATAAACGAAATCCGAAACGAAACAAAACACATTTTTAGCCACTGCACATGTGTAGTAATTTGTATCTAAATCTTGTCATGAATTGGTTCAGTTTTTGGAGGGATTTAAACTCCTCATGAATGCTGCCTTAAGGTCTGCATTCCTCAGGCTGTAGATCAGAGGATTAAGCAAAGGGTTAATGAGAGCATACATGACTGAGAACAGTTTGTTCATACTAAACATATTGCTGGAGGTGGGAACCAAGTATATAAAAATTGCGGAGCCGTAGAAGATGAAGACCACCGTGAGATGTGAGGTGCAGGTGGAGAAAGCTTTCAGCTTTCCAGCTTTGCTGGGGATTCGGAGAACGGTACTGAAAATCCGGACATATGGAAGAAATGTGGAAAGAAAGGCTGCTAGTGAGACACTGCCGCCCATTGTGAAGACAAGCAATATGTTTATGGCGGGGTCTGTACATGTAGTCTGGAACAAGTGTGGAAGGTCACAGAAGAAGTTGTGGATATAATTTGGACCACAGAAGGACAACCGGAGCAAACATAGAGTATGAACCATGGCATAAATAAATGCAACGACCCAAATCACAACAGCTATATGACTACATACCCTCAAGGACATAATTTGTGGGTAATGTAGAGGGCGGCAGATAGCGATGTATCGGTCATAGGACATAGCAGAGAGCAAAAGGAGTTCCGAGCAAGCAAAATAGAGAAAGAAAAAGACTTGGGCTGTACAGGCAGGAATAGGTATTGATTGGCTTTTGGTGACCAAGTCGAAAAGCATTCTTGGTCCGGTCACTGACGAATAAGACATGTCCAGAAGAGCCAAATTGCTGAGAAAAAAATACATGGGGTTGTGCAGATGGTAGTCAGTGAGGACCAAGAAGAAAATTAGGAGGTTTATGATAAGAGTCATCAGATAGATCAGAAGGAAGAGTACAAAGAGTCCATTCATGGTCGGTGGATGGTCTGATAGACCCACAAGAATCAGAACAGCAATCTTTGTGAGATTCTTCATATTATATTTGATATCACTATAGAACAGTAAGGAAAGGAAAACATATATGGAGTGCCCACATGTTATGCTCAGGTATCCATGTAGACATTTGATCCAGTTAATGACTTATATATATATATATATAAAATGTTGGCAGTCCCGCAGGGAAGTCTGCTGTGTTGTAAGAATACAAAGCCTTAAGTCTTCTTAAATGTCTCTTAAGATTTAATTTAAAACACCTTTGAGACCTTTTTATATAAATAAGATTATAGTTATTAAAATATCCATTGAATAAAAATACACTGAAATTCCATGTTTGATTACCAAATATTGGGCAAAGAAGATGAGTAAAAAGCACTGGAAAAACAATCACTGCTTTTCCTTTAGCTTCAGTTATTTTGTCATTACATTTTGCAAATACAAAAAGGTAGATGATGAAAATGGGTATTAAATAAGTCAGAGGACCACAAAAAGTTGACTGATGATCCGTGGACAGAGTCTATTGGGGGGAATGCCAGGGTCCTGAAAGACTCCCAGGAATCAATGGGATGTGGAAATGCTGAAAGTCAGTATTTGGGCAGGAATTTTTGGAGCCTCAAGGTCTGTTATGAGGACATGGAATGCAATGAGAAAAGCACCAGCTTGTACCTTAAGTGGCCCTCTATCCAGCAGGCCACCTTGGCTAAACACATTTTTGTTTTACAATACAGGTTTAGTGGATGTGCCAGGTATATAAACCCATTGGTCTTAAGCAAAAACTCTACTATACCTCCTTTACCACATATGAGCCAGTAACCTAATTTACTGGTCACAAACTATGTTGGCTCAGACAGCTCCATTTCTTCTCACTGAGCCAGAGTGCCTTGGCAAATTGTGCATGTGTAGTAGATTCTCCAGAGCACTTTAAGCCGTCTAGCAAATGAGTAATAAGCAAAAAACACAAAGTTGTGCTCCTGTAATGCTCATGAGATATTGTAGCATGAAAAGTCCATTCAAATTATGTTAGTAAGTAGCCTCAGGCGAAGGACAGTGCTTCCAAATCCAGCTTTGCAGTTTTTGAAGACGCAGAGAGGAGTGTTCATAGAAGCTATAAAGCATAAACAGAAGAGCTCATCAGCGTAGTGTAGCAAGTCTCCTTTATTATAAAAATCTATGACAATTGGAAGTGTTGCAAAATCAGAGGAGTAAATCAGTTGTCCCAACCGTCTCCAACAATGACAGGATGATTAGACTCTATGGATAGAGTCGGAGGTCCGCTCTGAAGGTGGTACCAATACATACCTTTTGCCAGTCTTCCATTCCAGTGTTTGAATTTTATTGGATTTGTATAATAAAGGAGATTTGCTAGACAATGCCAATGCACTCTTGTGAAGACTTAAAGCCTTCCTCCTGCATGCCTGGTATATATGTAGGGTAAAGGCATCTCAATTGAATCTGAAATGCATCTCAAATATTTTCTCTGTGAAAACATTCTAGGACCGGTCTCAGAGTGGGCTGATTATTGAGTTTCCTAAAGAAATGAATGGGAAATCTACTGTGCATGGGTGGCCTAGTGGATACTGTGCATCACCCAGCGGCCCCAGAGAGTATATATCTATGGATCTGTAACTGGATGAGTATAAAGACTTGTTGGTGAAGGGGGGAGGCTGCATTTATATGGCACCCTTACTAAAAGTACAGTAATCCTTTAATCAACTAACATCTAATCTGTCATTTTATGCAGAGATAAGACACATTTTTATTATTGGATGATTATATTTTCATATCAATATTAGTTTAGCCAACATATTTACAAAGTAGACCCATTTGTCTTTAAGCTAGCCAACATGGGAGCTTAGGTGCTCTTTCCAGAAGGCAAGTGGTATGTCCTCTTCCAAAGAGTTTTTTTTTCGTACTGGATTCCATTGGGGGAGATTTCTTTTCACATCCTGTCCAGGAGACGCAACAGAAAGAAAAAGGAAATCTCCAAGTCAAGGGAATTCCCCTCTTATACCATTGTCACTCAAACAGGTATAACCATAGAAAGATTTGCCTTCATTTCCCTTTCTGGTAACAGTTTTAACTTTTTGTATTTCTCATCACTCCATATAGTATGACAAAGCTTTCATTGCTAAAGTATACGAACACCCTTGGAATCTAAACTGGACCATTACCCTGGAGATCATGGGGTCCCTACTGTAAAGTATCCAAACTTTGGATACAAGTAAGCAACCTCATTCACTTTCTTATTCCATTTGAGGGTTTACTCAACAAACCCATCCCTGTCCTTTTCTGCACAGAACAGCTACTTGTTAAACATATATGATCACATTGACCAAGCTCTTGATAGTCAGAGCCTGGAAATCCCGGGCCTCAAAATTTGAAACTTTTAAAACAGACTCGATGGCAATTTGTTTAATGAAAAATTATCAACAATTTTAAAGAACCCCCATGAAAAATGTCTCCTTCTTTCCCTTTTTTTCCATCTCTCCCCTGCCCTCTGTTGCCCCCACTCTTCTCTGTCCTTCTGCCCTTTTCTTTCACACTTATTTGCGCATTAGGACTAAACACCCTCCTGTTTCTACTAATCATTCTATCTGTGACCAGGTCCAATATAAGTCTCAGCTATAAGTCTATGGTGGAAACAATAAAAAAAACCCTGCTTCTATCCCTTTTATACTTTTGTACTGGTATTTCCATACTGTGACATTTGTAAACAATTGCTTCTCTTAGTTGACTCTTGAGCACTTGAGCATCAGAAATGGACTACAAAGAAATAGAAGAAGGTGGCCTGGTCTGATAAATCACATTTTCATGTTGATGATCGGGTGTGTGTGTGTTACCTGGGGAAGAGAGGGCACCAGGATGTACTATAGGAAAAAGATAAGCCGATGGGGTCAGTGTGATGCTTTGGGCAATGTTCTGCTGGGACTACTCGGGTCCTGCCATTCATGTGGATGTTACTTTGACACATACCACCTACCTAAACATTGTTACTGACCAAGTACACCCCTTCATGGAAACGGTATTCCCTGATGGCAGTGACCTCTCTCAGCAGGATAATGCGCCCTGCCACACTGCAAAAACAGTTCAGGAATGGTTTGAGGAACACAACAACAAGTCTGAGGTGATGACTTGGCCTCCAAATTGTCCAGATCTCAATCCAATCGATCATCTGTGGGATGTGCTGGAAGAACAAGTCCGATCCATGGAAGCCAATCACCTCACAACTTACAGAACTTACAGGACCTGCTACTGACGGCTTGTTCATGCACATACATACAAACATACATACACATACGTGGTCCAGACACATACCAGAGATAGAATAACAATTTCAGGTCCGTTATTTTAATGTAACTCTGAATTAATGGGTTGTAACAGTTTTGAATGCATTGTCTATCTGCAGTTTGGGGTACTGTATTTGTTGCCTGTTTGCAAGCACATGCTTTTTAGCCTAGAAATATTTGTCAATTATTAGTCCAATCTTTTTTAACACATGGGCGATGGCTCTGCTGTACAATAATATTGTCCTCTATTCAAGCATTATACCTTGCTAAAGGATCCCAAACAATAGTGAGACACCTCATCCACAACAAATCAGGGGTAATAAAAGGAGCATATCGTAATCTTCTTGTACAGAAATTAGTGCAATCCCCACCTAGATGACAAAAATATTCCAACAGTAAACAATTCCTTTATGTGAAGTGGTTAATTAATGTTCATAGCGCATCAAACTTCAATCCCAGTGATATATATAAAAAAAATATATTGTCCTAGGCCAGTCAAAGATTTAAAGCTATTGAATAAGAAAATGTATAACATCTACAATATATACAATGTTTCTTGTTTGTGTAGAATACAAAACCTTCACATATTTGCAGTCTTTTTACTCAGGATAAATTAGAAAGAAAACAGTTAAAATATATGAGATAATATTAATTATGTAAAATCTGTTAATTTACTAAACTAAAAATGCAAATTGAATTGCTTTTTTTATTTGTTAGCTTTTTATATAAAAAAAACTGAGCTGAGTATTTATGAAAACTGTGCCAGTTAAAAGCTTTATGTGTCCTTAAAAAAACCAAACATGTAAAACACATTTTGGTAGGAAAAACAGTCAAAGAGTTCATGTGAGGTTAACCAATGCATTCTGAAACTGCTACATTTGGACTGGGCATACAGGTTACAATGACCCCTAGTCATGAAAGAGTACATCTATGAGCTCCCGACATTTTTACATTTTATGAAAGGAGTTATTGACACCTCTAGTCAACTTAAAATATACAAGAAACAAAATTTTTTTAAAATTTTACAACTTTATTTTCAGCATCAGGCTTGAACTAACTTCAAGTGAGAATTCAACCCCATAAGTGCCTGTAACGGATCCCCGCCATCTGCGCATGCGCAACCTGCACGTTCCCGCACTGCTCGGGAACGCGCCATTCCGCGCATGCGCAGAAGAGGTAGGTTACCAGCACGAAAATGCGCCATAGCCGTGCACAGGAAATGACATCACTGGCCTTATATAAACCCAGCAGCAGTACCACCATGTTGCTGGTTTATCGTCAGTTAATCCTTGTTCCAGTCTTTTGTGTTATCTTGCTAGATCCTTGTGACCCGGACTTCCTCGACAAACCTTGAATTCTGCCTGCCTTGACCACGGAACTGTTATTTGACCATTCTTCTGCCTGACCCCTTTTGTACTGGAATTGCCCGCTTGGAACCTGACCTCGGCTCGTCTCATAGGATTACGGCTTGCACGGTGCTCAACACCACTGGCATTCCTGCCACTTGCCTCTTGTCCTAGGTCGGTCAAAGATTTAAATCTATTGGATGGAATTTTTTTTTAATAATATCTAGAATATACACACTTGTTTCTCGATCATACAATACAGTTTACACTGGGGGGCCATGGAGGTGATTGGAACATCTGAATCCAATGATTTGGAGGGGTGTCCCAATACTTTTGGCAATATAGTGTAAGTATGATAACCTACACATACTGCAAATCCTTGTGCTCATGATAAATAAGAGAAAATTATTTAGCTAAACTATTTGAAATAGTATTAATTATGCAAAATAAATGAATTAAACTAAAAGTGCATTATTTTCCACATATTGATAAGCTTTTAATAGAAAATATAAGCTGGGTATTCATGAATACTGCATGTCGGGTAAAAACCTTGTATGTCCATAAAAAAACTGTAAAAATATTTTGTTAGGCAAAACAGTCACAGAGTTTAACTATGCCCAGTCCAAATGTATCAGTTTCAGTATTCATTAATGCATACTGAAACTGATACATTTGGACTGGGCATACAGGTTACAATGAATGACATGAAAGGGTTGAGTGTAACTAAAAGCGGCCGACATGTTTACCTTTTATGAAAAATGTTACAGAAACCTCTAGTAAATTGAAAATTGCCTAGAACCACAAAAGTGTCAAATTTTACATTTTGTTTATTTTCAGCATCAGGCATGAATTAACTTTAAGTGATAATAAGACCTCATAAGTGCCTCCATAAGGTCTTTGTTCCTCAGACTGTAGATCAGAGGGTTAAGTAAGGGGTTAATGAGGGCAGATATGACTGAAAACAGTTTATTTATATTGAACATGTTGCTGGAGGTGGGAACCAAATAAATAAAAATTAAACAGCCATAAAAGATGAAGACCACTGTCAGGTGTGATGTGCAGGTGGAGAATGCTTTCAGCTTTCCATTGTTACTTTGGATTCTGAGGATAATACTAAAAATACGGACATATGGAAGGAAGGTCAATAGAAAGACTGCTAATCCAACACCAGCACCTGCTAAGAATATGACCACTATGTTTAGAAAGGGATCAGAACATGTAATTTGAATCAGGTGTGGAAGGTTGCAAAAGAAGTTCTGGATGGAATTTGGTCCACAAAAGGACAACCTGAGCAAAAGTAAAGTATGAACCAAAGAGATAGAACATCCTGTAACCCAGGCCATAGAGGCCATATGAGCACAGACTCTCCAGGACATAATTTGTGTGTAATGTAGGGGGCGGCAGACAGCAATGTAGCGGTCGTAGGACATAGCTGAGAGCAAGAAAATTTCTGACAAAGTAAAGGAGATGTAGAAAAAGACTTGAGCTAGACAGGCAGGAATGGATATTGATTGGCTTTTTGCGACCAAGTCAAAGAGCATCCTTGGTGTGGTCGCCGATGAACAGGAAATGTCCAGAAATGCCAAATTGGCAAGAAAAAAATACATTGGGTTGTGCAGATGGTAATCAGTGAGGACCAAGAAGAAAATAAGAAGGTTCATGATAAGAGTCATCAGATAGATCAGAAGGAAGAGCACAAAAAGTATATTCATGGTCAGCGGATGGTCTGATAGACCCACAAGATTAAGAGAGGTAACCTTTGTTAGATTCTTCATATTATTAATTTCTGTCCCTCTGTTTAAATGTACCACCATAGAAGAGTAATAAAATAATCAATCTGAAGAATCATCAAAAGGAAAACACATACAATGTATCTACAGTTCACGCTCAGGTTTACATGTAGACTTTTGTAAGAGCTGATGATTTGTTTATATAGAATATGATGGCAGTCCCGTAGGACACTCGGCTGTGTTGTAGGTACACAAAGCTGAAAGTCTGATTAAAGGTCTCCTGAGATCTCATTTATAACACCTTTGTGACTTGAGGGCCCTTTTCATAGAATTGTTATTAAAATTTGAATTGTGAATAAAAATACAATCAAATCATTTTTAACATTTCGTCACCCATTTTGTTCAATAGCTACGTGGGCAGAGGGATCTAATACACCTACAGAGGAACTTCACCCTTATCTTTGAAATGACAACAAAGAACCCTTTAGAAATGTTTAATAATGACAATCTGCAAACAGATACTTCTAGATAATGGCCGGCTTTGTATTCTTTGCATACCTTATTTCTCTAAATGCCGAAAGTGCCATTTTTGTGCAGATATATCGGCGCATCCCAGGTTCCTTTCCTCCCCACTGGGCGCTGCTCTGTGTCCCAGCGGGGAGGAGAGAAAGTGTGGCAGCCGGCCGAGCGCTGCTGGAGGAGAGTGCTGTGAGCGGTGTCTCTCCTCCCACACTGCTCTGGCAGGGCGGTGTGTGGGCGGAGACAGCCCACGCTGTCACAGGAGGCTGAGCTCTCCTCCCTACTCCGCTCGCTCTGCCTCCTGTGACAGCGTGTCATGAAGGAGAGCGGGTGATCAGTGATCAGTGATCGCTAAGTGTTTGTAGATAATTGAGGACATGGTATGTTTACTTTATCCTCAATTATGAAGGAATGGGAAGTGATCTACATCCCCTCCTGTTCATTCTTGATTGTGGTTATAGTAAACATACTCTGTCCTCATGTTATCAATGAACAGGAACACTCAGAGGATTCCTGTTCATTGATAACTGGGGGTGCAGAAAAAGAGATTGAGAACTTTGTGTCATCAATCTCTTTTACTATTTTAAAAGGGAAATATCAGGGGTCTGTTTAGACCCCCAAAATTTCCCCCGAAGCCCCTAAGAGTAAAATAAAAACATTTTTCGGTTTCGGCCTGACAATTTTTTAATTTCGGTTTCGTTTCAGTTTTGGAATTTCCATTTCGGTGCACCTCTACAAATGAATATATCTCCCTTTACTTCCTGGAACTCTGGCACATGTGACTATGACATGTGACCATGCGCATCATCTCAGGGGAAGATAATACCTTTCCCTGAGATCTCGTGAGATTACAGATGAGATTTCCCAGCAATGCTCTGCTGATGTAACCTTCCCAGGATGCAACGCTTGGGCAGGATTACACCAATTGTGGACCAGGAAGTAGAGAAACACTAATTGTAAGTAAAATAAAAATGTGTTTATTTATCTAATGAATGTAAGATGATTTCATATCATCATGCAGAGCTACATGCTGGGGGGGGGGGGGGGGTTTCTTAGTGAAAGGGGGTAAAGGTAAAGGAACACTGTCTTTTTTTAATTTATTTACATTCCATTTTCAATTTAATTCCAGTTACAGTTTTTAAGGGCTACTGATTGAAACTTTCATTGGACAGCGGGTTGCATAGTCAGGATGGAAAGCTACAGCCTCCAGGGTTTGGTTTGTAAGTATTGGCCAGGGTCACCACAGTTTGGTAGCAGTGACAACAGGCCAAACTGAATAAACACAAGGCACAGGTGGGTGTCTTCCTAAAAACATTAGAACTTCAGCCCTCAGGTATGAGTGGGTAAATATTAGCCAGTGACATCACAGTTTAATGGCAGTGTAAACAGGTCTAAATGTGAAGACACATGCCACAGGGAGGCATCTTTATAAAAACAATTGGGAGGCAAAAAACTGTCAAGTGGTACCATAGTTTGATGGCAGCACCAGCAGAGCCGCATGACATAGGCAGCAATCTTCCTAAAAAAAGTAATGTACCGCAGCCCTTAGATTTTGGTGGGTAAAAATTTACCAATAGCACCACAATTTGTCACCAGCAACAACAGGTCACTCTGTGGTGTTACTGGTGGTGGTGGGGAACTAACAGGTCAACCTGTGGTGCTACTGGTGGTGGTGGTGGTGGTGGGTTGGGTAGTTGGCAGGAAAGGGAAAGAAGTAATGGAAAGCGGTGCCAGGAGGTGTTTATGCTTGTACTTGGCAGTACTAGTAATTCTCACACAGGCTTAAGCAGCAGAGCCAACAAAATTGACCTGTATCTAGTGTTTCTTTGTAAATGGAATGGAAATTTTGCAAATTTAAATTTAAGGCTAGTTTCTGGAGAATTGGACTCTCAGGATGAGCACAACAATGGTCTCCTCCACAGAGTGATCGAGGTAATAAAATGGTTGCATCTCCCACCAAATGCGTTATCCCCTCAAACATCAGTGGAGTCCCCCTGGATGCATTCCTGCAGTGAACAATATATTTATGCAATATTGTGCCGAGCTGAAAAAACAATCAAATATAAACAGTGAAATATACAACAATGGTTATAGGCCGAACTCAAACCACATAACATACACAGTGAGATAAAGGCCGAAACGAATCAAACGATGCACTGCAGATAGCGGATCAAATAATGCGATGCAACGTGTACAGACCACACGAGCAGTCCTCTGAAGCAGACTTTGTAGTGTGCAGGACAACAGACTGATAATCCTTCACCTCCACCAAGTGAATGCACAAATTACAATGGCACAGGGGATTCCCTCAATGTACTTGAGTACAGCAGATGCAATACAGCACCCGTCCATCGAGCTCCACTGAAGTGATGACGTCAGATGATTCTGCCCGTCCAGCGCGACTTTGTCAGGGTTAGGGTTTTTCCCTTCTTAAGAGTTTCCCCCTCTTAAGGAGGGAAAACACGCTTGAGACCTACTCTGTCGGAATCTAAGAAGTTCCAGGAGTTCGCCTCATCTTAGGGCTTCAAAGCTACAGTCCCTCAGATCTCTCAGGATTTGGAATTCCTTCAAAAAGGGTCGGACATGGGTTTGAGTTTGAATACCCTCAAAGGACAGGTGTCAGCGATTTCGGCCTACACAGGAATCAGGCTGGCATCTGACGGTCTAATTGAACCATTCTTCAAAGCCGTCATCAGAGTGAAGCCCCCTCGAAAGCTACTATTTCCTAAATGGGATCTGCCTTCAGTTCTGGACTTTCTGGCCTCGGTGCCCTTTGAAGGTCAGATATCTCTCTGACACATCACCTTGAAGGTGGCCTTCCTGGTGGCAATAACTTCGGCCAGAAGGGTTTCTGAACTGGCAGCATTAGGGTTCCAGAAACCTTTCACTACCTTTTTGGCAGACAGAGTTGTCATGCTCAGGTGCTCAGGTTTCAGTGGCGTAACAATAGCCATAGCGACCCAGGCGGCCGCTATGGGGCCCGGGCACAGGGGGGCCCGGCCAGGACACCCCCCTGATGCCGTGCGGGCCGCCTGGGTCGCTATGGGTTCGAACGCGCCGCTGTTCAGATCACCGTGATCTGTGCAGTGCTGCGTTCTTCTCCATAGCCACTGCTGAGTCAATGAGAGTGGAGGAGGCTGGACGTAGCGGGGAGGAGGAGGCGGGGCCCGGGGGGGGCAGCATCAGAGAAGGAGGCGGGGCCGGGGACAGAGGGGGGTGCGGGCCCGG